TCCCTCTAACCAGTACCCCAGGCACCTTTGCCCATTGCTGATTTGGATTTGCATATTTTCACTATAATAAATTGTAGCTGTGAGTAGGATCATATGCTGAAACTTGTGACTCCTCCTAGTGAATCACCAAACCAAGGGTGGTCTTGGAGCTCCTACCATGATATAGTGTCTCTCCCTTTCTCTCCCTGTATCTATCTTCATATCTCTATATAAAAGTTAAGTACTACATGAATATTTATTACCTATTGAAATAAGTAATTGAAATCAGAGAAAAATAAAAAGGGACTTTATGTTTGCCCCAAAGCCCCATTTGATCAATTCCCTCTTTCTTTATATTTCTGTTTCCTCTCTTTTTTCTATTTTAGAGTTTTAAACTCATGGCTATTATTTTCCATAAAAATTAAAGAAAAACCTTTAAAAAATATTGTCTTATATTTGCCAACTAAAAACCCCAATCAAAATTTTTTGCAGAGAGAAGGGAAAGAAAAATGAAAGAAATAAAGAATACAACGCACTTCAGTGCCTTGATCTCCAAGGAGATAGAAAATTCTTGTAGCTTTTAAATGACAATAGTATGTTTAATTTTTAACTTTTTTCAACTTTTATAAGTTAACGTTTCAAAATCTTAAGGCTTTGTTTTAGAATAATATGGTTCCTCTTTGTACTTACAAAAACAGTCCAGTCCATTACTGGAAAAACAGGTCTGCCATTCATGAGAAAGTTTTTGACACAGAGCTTAGAATAAACTTTGAAGGTATTGTATTTTTTTTTTCACAAGTTTTCATATAAACGAAGATTTAAAGAAAACACAGATCTCTGAGAGGCTTTTGAATCAGAAAAAAATAAATATAATTTAAAAAGTTATAAAAGATGTTTTGGAGACAAATTGGGGGAATTTGAATGCAGAATTGATGAGATTATATGAATTATTAGTTCTCTTTGATGTCATCCTCATTTTAGGAGATATTGCCTTAGGTATTTAGGGGCAAAATTTCATGTTGTCTATGAATTTCAGATGATTAAGAAAAATATTTAAGTATCTATCCACATGTAAAAGGATAAAATCAATGTAGCTCACTGGTAACAGTTGTTGAACTTGGACAACCAGTGTTCAGGTTATACTGTGTAATTCTTTCATATTTTCTATATTTTGGAAAATTTTCAAAACAAAAAGTTGGGAAGAAAAAGGAAGCTTTTTTTCTTTTTAAAGCAAGGATATTAATGTAATTGAAGTCAAGACAGAATGATGCCAGTGGGGACGGGCTTTGTAGTACAGCATTTGCCTAGTGTGCACAAGGCCCTGGGTTCAATTCCCAGCACTCCAAAAAAATTTAAAAGTAGAATAATATAATATCAGTTAGAAAATCAATATCCACTCTGCTAATTAATTTACCATACTGAGTTAAGAAGGAATTAGTATCTTTTGGTGGAAGGCTTACTGGGGTTTGAACTCAGGGTGATGTACCACTGAAATACATCCCCAGTCCTTTTTATTTTGTGATAGGGTCTCACTAAATTGCCAAGACTAGCTTCCTACCTCCACCTCCTGAGTCACTGGGATTATAGGTATGTACCAAGGCACCTGGCTTGTAAGGACTTAACATCTTTTGAATAAGAAAAGAGAGGCTTTGTTGATGTTTGATTAGTAGAAAAGTTGCACTTGACAAAAATGCTAGTTAATTCAACCAACTAGTGAACCCAGTCAGATGACTGATTACTTCAATGGGTTAATCTGCCTAATGATCTTCCTCTCAAAATCTGTCTAATTGATTGAAATGTTCTTATTTTCATGATCACTTTTCTTTTCTTTTTTAAAAATATTTATTTTTTAGTTGTAGTCGGACACAATACCTTTATTTTATTTCTTTATTTTTATGTGGTGCTGAGGATTGAAACTAGGGCCTTGCATGTGCTAGGTGAGTGCCCTACCACTGAGCCACAACCCCAGCCCACGATCACTTTTATTTTCATCGTCATAATGAGCAACTTCTTAAACACCTACTGTGAGCAGGATGCTGGAGACAACATGTTCTTAACTCAATGGATCTATAATATCACTGGGAAACTAGGAGATAGGAATAAAGAATAAATACCCATACAAGAAAGCATAATCAATATGCTAAATGCATAGTATCAAGATCTCTCAGCACCTTAGCAAACCTGGATGTGTCATTACTTGTCATTCAGCATTACTCAGCCTTATCTCTCATGTTACAGATGAGTAAGATTTATTTTTATGTATTCAACTTTCTCAGTGTTTTCCTTAAGACATTGAAGTTGTTGCCAGTAGGGTTTTTTGTGTGTTTATTGTTGTCAAACTTAGAACAAATTTCAAACTTCAAGATTATGAAAACATTTATCTAGGGTTTCTTCTAGCAGTCTTAGTTCAACGTGTTATATTTAAATTTTTGAACCATGTGAAATTCATTTTAATATGAGAAACAAGGTTGGACGGTAGGGTGGGTTTTTTTTTTTAATTTCAAGCCAGTTGCCCAACATTATTTGAATAATCTCTTATATTCTACATGTGCTTTTACTTAATTCTGACTTCTCTGTTGTATTGATGAGCCAATTTTAGGTTCTATACCACTCTAGACAACACATCATTATAATAATTTATTACAGATCTAGAAGAGAAACCCTTCACTTGGTACTTTTTCATTCAGAAATTACCTGGCTGTTCTCTTGCCCCAGTCAGGCTAAATTCCTAAGAACCAATAATGTAGCTTTTATTATACAGAAGGAGATGACATTCATGGGTAGTATTGCCCCAGTCTTTGTAATAAACAAAATAGCTCAACTGATTTTCCAAATGTCCCTCAGTTTCAAATCCATCTGGTAAGTGTCTTAAAAAATCCTATTGGTATCTGATGGAGATTGCACAACATCTACAAGCAAAGCAAAATTTCCATTTTTTTACAATGTTGTGGCCCCTATTCCCAATAACAGCATATTTCTCTTCCTTTATTTATGTCTTTGCATGCTCCGGGGCCTAAACAGGAAACAGATGTCACACTAACATGAGAAATTGATGAGCTCAGCAAAGTGACTGTATTACTTAGACAGGATCTAAGGAAATCACAAAGGGTGTTGCACTTTAGGGAAAAGCCTCCTGACTCCAGGCCTAAAACAGCAAGGGGGGAAAGCAATTACTGGAATTCAGGAAAGAAAGCATCACTGAACAAGAGCATTATTAAATAATGGTTGCAGCTGATTCTCAACCAGGCAGCGGGAGGCAGCCAGGGGGAGAGAGATCCTGCACTCAGATATCCAACCCAAGTCTCCCAACCAGAAGGCAGTGAGCTGGGAACAGTTGTTCATATAGCTCAGCCTCCAGGGACACAGAACAGGATGGGAAGGATGGCAGAGCTGGGACAAGGTGAGGGCTGGCAAAGGCACAACTTGCAGCCTACTAGGTAGGCGAAGCTGCTTCCTCTTCCACCTTGCATTTCCTGTCAATTTTCTTCTCAAGCATTTCTGACTTTACTGTTCTGGATGGGCTCTCCCCTTCCAGGGCCTCTTTAGGTCACTTACCATTTATATGTGAGAAAAATATTAATTTTGCATATTACTTGCATAGCAGAGTTCTTTGATAAGGAGGTGTTTGATTTTTAAAATTGTTTTAGTTGTTGATGGGCCTTTATTTATTTATTTATTTATATGCAGTGCTGAGAATCAAACCCAGTGCCTCATACATGCTAGGCAAGCACTCTACCACGGAGCCCCAGCCCCAGCCCGAGGTATTTGATTTTTATGCATATGTGGGTATCACTTGTTATGTGACCCAGGGGAAGTTCAATATCCTTTCTGCATCAATTTCAGTATTCGTAAAAAAAATGGGTAATGAGGGCTAGGATTGGGGCTCAGTAGTAGCGCACTCACCTAGCATGGGTGAAGCACTGGGTTAGATCCTCAGCACCACATAAAAATAAATAAGTAATGGTATTGTGTCCATCTACAACTAAAAAAATATTTTTTAAAATGAGTAATAAGATATTTACTTCATTGTTTTTAATTAAAATGTTAATACAGATGAGGCAGCTATAATAGTATCTGGCTCATAATAAACCCTCAGTAAATGTTACCTATTATTATTATTTTTTAAATATTTATTTATTTATTTTAGTTGTAGATGGACACAAGACCTTTATTTTATTTATTATTTTTATGTGGTACTGAGGACCAAACCCAGGGCCTCTTCCATGCTAGGCAAGTGCTCTACCACTGAACCACAACCCCAGCCCCTGTTATTATTGTATCTAGTAGTTTTTCAGGCAATTTAGGGCACCAGCAACTTTTCAACCCAGTGTATTGATCCTGGTCATTTTCAGCTGAGTTTTCTATGCCAACGTCTGAATTTACCATTTTTTTCAGACAGAAAAGGTGGATTAAATAGCTTTAAATATAGTTACAGTATCTTGGCTTTACTTACTAAAGGCTCGAATAATCAGTTAAGAAAGGAATCATTCTCTTGGGGACCATGGTCTCAGAAGCAAGGCTTTATCTGACACTAAAATGCAAGTACGACTGGCCTTTTTTAAACTAAAGTGAATGAACCAAATAGTAGCTTAAAAACCAGCACCTCTTCCAGCTGGGTCCAAAACAAAATGAGGTAAATTTAGACATGTCTCTGAGATATCTATAGAACTGGTGGTTATCAACCTGTGGTATTTTGTCCCTTGGGGGATATTTTGCAATGTCTAGAGACATCTGTGATTATCACAACGGAAAGGAAAGGAGGCAGGGATACAGCCAAACACCCTGCAATCTAACAAAGAATTCGCTGGTCAAAAATATCAATACTGCCAAAGTTGAGAAACTCTGTTATAAAAAAGAAAAGATTAGTCTGACCAGTGGTTTGGACTTAGACGAGATATTGCCCCAATTATGGTGGTAGAAATAAGAGGAACCTAGTGGTTCTGCAAACCCCATGTCTGGGTGGTTTAAATAGTCATGCTCCTCCTTGCTCCCCCCTCCCACATCATCTTTGCACTCGGAAACTCCAGGGCTGACAGCCTAGAGTCTCTGTGACTCTATGTTTCCTCCTGCCTATCTCTTCATCTCAGAAGACTCCAGATATAGAATCACTCCATGCAATCAAGAAAAGTATTTTAAGCATTGGAACAAATTGGAATAATTTAAGTAAGTTGATGTATGCACTGCTATAAGGGAGTGGGGAGGGAAAGAGAGGGAACCCAAATCATATGCAAACAGTTTTTAGAATATAAAGCAAAAATGTGGTAGTCTAAAATGTCAATTATTCAAAGATAAAGACTTTTAGTAACATTAGAAATGGTTTTCTGGAGTTCGTCTCTCTTTTACCTTTGAGGAAATAAATACTATTAATAGGTATTTTCAATAACATATTTTAAAGCAATGTTTACAGCATGTTTTTAGGCTACAGTATGTTGGTGTCTTTGTGATGTCAAGTTCAATGTCTGTTTTTATCTTAGTTGATGCTATTGAGTCCATCTCAGGCTGATCTTGGTACCTCTCATGCTCTTCCCTCTTCCACCAGACCTCTATATTCCATTTTGGAAGAAGACTCAAAATGGTAAGAAATCCAAGAGATCTGTAAAATTGTTATCTGTGATCTTTGGGGGAAGAACTAAAACCAGCTGGAAAGAATAATACTTAAGATTGTATTTTGGCTATTTCCCAGGGGGAAAACAGTTTTGTGATATTTCATAATAGAGGTTAATTGGGAAAGCATTTCATAATTTCAGATTAATCAACACTTTCTCTGTCCAACTTCCTACAAAAGTTATATATGTGTGCTGTAGTGAGCAGGGGCAGATATTTGGATTGGAGACATGGCTTCTATAGATCTCATTTCTTCATCCTACATTTTTAGCTTTGAAGCAATACCAATCACTGAAGTTACTTTGAGCTTCATGCAGCATATGGTAGGTTGAATGACTACATAGATAGGACAGGGTGGTATGAATATAGGACTAAGATTCCACCAACCTCCAAGCTTGGGTGCTGTTAAAAAAGAAAAGAGCTGGCAAATAGTTAAAGTGGTACTATCAGAACTATTGTAACAGGGGACGAGAGACCTCAGTATAGAACTAGACTCAATTCCAAATATAGCAAGAATAAGTGGGAATTTATAGTCAGGGAGCAGAATGGTGTCAGGGGATGGAAAATTACTGAGAAGAAACTTCAGGGATTGGGAGATTCCGGTTAAACTGATCTGGAAAGATTCTTGCTGGAGGCAGGCCAGGGGGATCAGACATTTCCTGGGGAATGGTGGGGGATGAGGAATTTGATCAAATACTAAAGGTGCTCACAAACCAAGGTATGGGGGAGGATTCTCAAAAAAAAAAAAAAAAAACACAAAGAATTCTTGCTCAAATCAGGCAATGCAAAGATGGATAGTGGTCCTTAGAGGCTTCTGGGCTTAGAAGAGACGGACAAAAGTTTTGTCAAGGAGAGTCTTTGTCAGTACTGACTCTCCCAATCACTATCTGGGGGAACTTGTGCCCATCACCAAGGCTTCTGAAGCTTGATTTCTATGATTATAAAATGAGCATTAGAATACCCTCCTCAGTTGCCTTCAGAGCCATTGTGAGGTTCAAATAAAAATCTATTTGTTCAAGTCCTCTGCAAGTGGCATGATGCAAGTATAAGCAAACAGGTATGCCGAAATTAAGTAAGAAAGAGACATTGGTGGCCTTTTCCTGAAATTGTTTCTCATCCAAATTAGATGTGATGAAGAGTATTCACCAGGAACCCTCTGCAACCTCTGGATCTGAATGTTGGCTCTTGGGCTTATTTTGTATCTAAGGTCTCATGAAACGTTAACCATAAGGCTATTCTGCTACAAAGGAAATGACTGTTTATAGTTTCATTTCCTCGAACCCCAGATGTCTATTTTATTGCACACATGTGCATACAATTGTCTTTGACTCTTGAGGGATGGCATGATAGGAGTGGTGAGAGTCAAAAGAGCTCACATTCTTGACCATTTAGTATAGATCAAGCATCATGCTAAGGGCTTGATACACATGCTTCTGTTTCAGTCTCAAAGCAGTCCTATGAGGTACAGATGAGGAAACTGGGACCTCACAAGAGTAAGGAGCTTGAGGACGTGACTTGGGCAGCCTGATTCTTTGAAAGGGGGGCCCAAGGTCTCTAAGTTTTTAAATCAAGCCTGGCATGCACTTTTACCCAGCAGACACTCAATAAATGTAGGTTTGATTATGATCTTACTATTTAAGAGAATAGGGGAAGTTGGCATATCTCTTATACAAAAAGACATTAAAAATAATTTTCAAAAGAATAAATATACAGGCTGGGCATGCAGGCACGTTCCTGTAATTCCAGTGGCTTTAGAGGCTGAGGCAGGAGAATCTCAAGTTCAAAGCCAGCCTCAGCAAAAGTGAGATGCTAAGTAACTCAGTGAGACCCTGTCTCTAAATAAAACACAACATAGGGCTGGGGATGTGGCTCAGTGGTTGGGTGTTCCTGAGTTCAATCCCCAGTACCAAAACAGAAAAAAAAAAAGAATAAATATTCCAGGCCCCCAAAACACAGAGAAAATATTCAACCTTACTAATAGACACGTCAGATCCTTTAATCTGGAAATCTGACTTCTAGAAACTCTTCTCAAAGCAATGATCAGGTTTGTGGTGAACCATTTACCAAGACAATGTATGCAGCAGGGCAAAGGATGTATCTCAGGTCCCTTGTTGGGGAGGGCTTAATTCATTGTGGTCCACCCATTAAATGGAATCATATGTAACTATTTAAATTCTATTTTTAAGAGGATACTGAATGACATAATAAAATATTCATGTTATAATGTTAATTTTAAAAAGCAAACTAGAATCAGTAACTGTTGTGTATTCCTGATGTTTTTAATGCACATCTTAGATAAGTGCTGGGTGATTACTAAACGTTAGACCATCTGTGAAGATGTTTCACATACATAAATGTGTTACATATTTCAATTTCACCAAAAAATCCCTGTATTATGATCCTTTTACAGTTAGGAAATACGAGTCTTATGAGGCAAAATTATTTATGAAAGTCTGAGAGCTCTTATGTGGTAGAATATGAATTTAACACCAAATCTTTCCACTGACAAAGTCCTGGCTCTTACTAAAATGTTTCTCACTATGTGAAATAGATGCATGGATGGGGAAATCCACATTAGAAGGAAACATATCAAAATGTTAAAGCTAAGAAATTTTTAAAAATAAAAATATTAAGTTACCTTAACTATAGCTAATTTCTTTATGGCTAAATAAAGGGAGAGTAAGGTTATCTATTTACTAAATTAATAATTATTTAAAAATTCAAAGTAGCAAGGACTGAAACAACTTACTGAGACCCTGACTCAAAATAAAAAATAAAAAAGGGCTGGGGATGTGGCTTAGTGATTAAAGACCCCTGGGATCAATCCCTGGTACAAAAAAAAAAAAAAGAAATTTGAAGGGTTTGCTGAAATCAAAAATATCATTACAGATTAATCAACCAGACTCTTCACAGCCTGAGTATAGAACATTTTGACATCAGAAGTTTATCAAAACTTAGGACTAAGACTGGCAAGCTCTGGCCTGTGGGTCATATCAAGCCTGCCATTTGTTTTTATACAGCCCACAAACTAAAAATGTTTTTTAATGTTTTTAAATGGTTGAAACATAATGAAGAAAAATTACTATTTCATGATACCTAAAAGTTATATGAAATTCAAATTTAAGTTCCCACAAATTAGCAAGGATGGTGGAATGTAATGGACATCATTATACAAAGTATATGTATGAAGACTTTAAAAAAAGGTTCCCATAAATAGTTTTATCATTTGTGTACTTGTTTATATATTTATAACTGCTTTTGCACTCTGATGGCCAACTTCTCAAAGAATCGAATAGGGAGAGAGACTGTGTAACCTCCAAAGCCTAAAATATTTACTTACTTGCCCTTTATAGATAAAATTGCCAATCTGTGACTTATGGAAAACAGGGGATAAGGTTTAATGTCACATGTGATTTAATATCTTAGGGTCTTTGGTGACTGTTGTAATACATAATAGCTGCTAAATTCCTAATATACATAAAACCACTTGATGTAATTATATTCTTTTCATTTGAAAACTAAATCCATTAGGCTAAAATGGTAAGGAGCAAATGATTTTTAAAAACTATTTATTTACAATACTGGAGATTGAACCCAGGGCCTGGCATGCGCTAGGCAAATTCTCTACCACTAAGCTACATTTCCAGCCTTTGTTATTTTGAGGTAGGGTCTGAGCAAATTACCCCGCTGGCCTTGAACTTGTGATCCTCCTACCTCCGCCTTCTGAATCCTTGGGATTACAGGTGTATACCACCATGCCAGGCTAAGATGTCTCTCCCTTTTAAAAAGTGTGTTACACCATTGTACTTCAATTTTGTTATTGTTATAAAATGGGACTTTGATACCAATGGTTTTTACACTTCACAGAGATTAGCCTATGATTAGAAATATTTCAGAACTCTCAAAAAGGGGATATTGGGTGAGAAATCTGTTAGGGAAATTCCTAGTAGAAGTTCAGTGTATAAATAAATATCACTTAAGCAACTTCCCTAATTCAAAGTTCTTGATTAACCCCTAGAGAGACATACAAAGCACAAACCTAGTTACCAAATAATTCAATAACATCAACATGTCATGAAAGTAGAAGTCCTCTTTCCCTAGAAAAGGCGTCCCTCATTCCATTCCCCAGAAGAAATTGCTGCTAAAGGTCACTTGAGTAATCTTCCACTTCTCTTTGCAAATACAAACACATGTACATATATATTCATCATAAATCGATCATATGCTACATACGATTTTGATACTGCTTTTAAAATCCACTTTATTTTTATAGTCATAGTAGGTCTTGCACAGCTTGTCATGTCAACACCTATAGCTCTACCACATTCTTCTTAGGGTATATCCCACTATTGGTGATTTCTCATTTTTAACCATTCTGCCAAATTGATTGGTTGTTATCCAGTTCTTCCCATTCTTACTATTTTAGAGAGCTTAATCAAACTAATAGTCTTATCTGAAGTCATATAATGTTTAGTTAATATTATCAAAAGGTGAACTTGCTTGTTTTCCCCTTCTGTGGAATCCTTAAGATGTTAATGGTGTTTAAAACTTTGCTTAGGCCATTTTGAAATGGCAGCAGTCTGAGGTTCTGGGGGGCTATGAAGACCCATTGACTAAACTGCACATCCACATTATACCATGTGCATTTGCAGTAGATAAGTTTCAGGGAACTCCAAGCCAACAATCAGTCATAGAGTCAGCACACTAGAAAAGGACTTTGCAGGCCCATTAGTTCAACCCCCATAGTCTATAGATGAAAAAGGCAAGGTTTAAAAGAATTCAGTCAGTAGCTCTAAGAGGCTGAATCCTGGCCTGTCTGTTCACAAGATTGATAACTCCCAAAATAAATAAACAAGAGGAGAATTCAGATGAATCCTGGCATGGCTCTAATTTGTTACAAGACACAAGCTACTTGACCTCACTTCCTCATTTTTTTGTTTTTTGCCATCTACTAATTTCCAGTTACATGCA